ATTTTGAGCTAAATACATTGTGGTAGATATATTTTAAAGTTTTAAATGAGATTTCAACCGAATACATACTAGAAAAACATTTTTAGGGCTGGGAAGGTGGTAGAGTGCTTGCCACTCATGCATGAAGCCCTGGGTTCGATTCCTTAGCACCACATAAACAGAAAAATCCAGAAATGGTGCTGTGGCTCAAGTGGTAGGAGCGCTAGCCTTGAGCAAAAGCAGCTCAGGGACAGTTCAAGCCCCTGGACTCAAGCCCCCTGAGTTCAAGCCCCAGGACTGGCAAAAAAAAAAAATTATTAGCATCAATTAATTATACAAGGTGTTTTCTGCACAGAAGTGTTAATTACAGTCACATGGCCATGTAACAATTCTCTAGAACTAGTTCATGTTGCAAATGGAAAGTATATTATCCACTAAAACCCAACTTCCCATTCTTCTTCACCCCCAACCTTGGTAACCACCTTTCTACTTTCTGTTTTTATGGCTTTGCTCTTGACAGACATTTCATCAAATGGGACCTTTTGTCTTTTTGCATCTGACTTATTTCACTCAGAATAATGTCTTCAAAGAGCTCCATACTATAGTATGAGAATTTGTCTTAAACCATTTTGCAAAAGCTCATACAAAGGAATAAGTTACAAAGTCTTCAAAATCTGGCAATATTTACCTAATAGAGACAACATCTCTCAGTTTGGCATCTCAGGGGCTCAGTTGCAACATCATGAGCTGCCATGTTGGACAGTCATTGGGCAGACACATGCCATCTTGGGAGTACCACTATAAACAGAGGAGTGGAGGGCTAAACCTGCCTTTACTAACTTGTTTAATTATTTATTTTTGCAGTGCTGGGTATCAGACCCAGGACCTTACGCATGGTGGACAAGTGCTCTACTATTGATCTATATCCCAGCTTCCTACCTTTTATTTTCTTAGCTCCCTATAGGTTTACTTTGACGGAATGAATTTGAGGCTTATGCCCTCCCTTCCTTTTGAGGGATGCTATAGGTGACATCCTCTGTGTAAAGATGTCAGTCTTCACATTAAACAGTGGTCTGGTTATAAAAGTCCTTAAGGAAGTATATTTCTGGTCTTAAAAGCTAAAATAGTAAGACTGGGAATGTGGCTTACTAGTAGAGGGCTTGCCTAGCATGCACAAAGCCCAGAGTTTGATTCCTCAGTTCAGAAGCAAACACACAAACAAAAAGAGCAGAAGTGGTGCTGTGGCTCAAGTGGTAGAGGGTAGCCTTGAGCAAAAGAAGCTCAGGGACAATGCCCGTGCCCTGAGCTCAAGCCCTAGGAGTGGCAACACACACACACACACACACACACACACACACACACACCAAACTAAAATAGTTATATGTGTATTATTAGCTTATTCTGATTTTCTGGACACCAACAATTGTGTAACTAATTTTATTTTCCAATTTTCATTGGCTATCAAAAACATAGAAGCTAATTGTAGCTTAACATAGCATGAGTACAGGATAGAATTTCCTAAATGTGTTAAGTTTATTTCTGCTTGTTATTAAATAGTAAACACAAGCTAAGCATCGATGGTTTACATTTGTAATCCTAGTTTCTCAGGAGGTTGATATCTGAGGATTGTGGTTGCTGAGGATTGCTATTCAAAGACAGCCTAGGTAGGAAAAGTCCATGAGGTTCTTATCTCAAAAAGCTAGAGGTGAAGCTGTGCTCAAGTGGTAGAGCACCAGCCTTGAGTGAAAAAAGTTTTGGAACAATATCGCAAGTACCTGAACTGTCAAAGGCTACACTGAGAAGTAGCAGAACTGTGATTTAGGCAGAGATAGCCTGACCTGTTGCTTCTTCCTTTTGGATCTTGTTTAGTATAATACATTTAGCTTTCAAAGAACTACTCAAGGGGCAGTCTGAGGGTTGGGGAGGGCCAAAGACAAAGGGGAAAAATATAAGAAGGTAAGAAAGAAAAATAGAAATGAAAGATTGGCCAGTGTCTTTTTCCAACCCCAGCCATGCCCTGCTCGCTTCAGTCTTCTCTCAGATGTCTGCAAATAAAATTCTCTGCTCACAGCAATATGAGAGACTTGCATGGAGTTCAGGGCTTAAGGCCAAGTCAGAGATCTTTAATGGACACTTAGGCTTCAGACAAAGTCTAAACTAATGTGTTTGGTAGCTTTCCACACTCTATTGTGTGCTCATTACACCTGGATAATAGAATTCCATTAAATTTGATCTGATCTTGTCTCTATATCTTGAATTCTTACATAATGAACTGCAATGCAAACTAGCTTAGTATAGAAATAAACTAAAACCTACTTTAGGATTTTTTAAAAAATAATAGCCAGATCTCAGCCATTGCTAAATAAGGCAAACTTCTAACTGTAACCAGTTGACCTATTTCTGCCATTCACACCCTTGATCTGTATATAATTATCATCCATATTGCAGAGCAGAGCTCTCTGAACCTTTTCCAGCTCGGAGTGCTGCCTGATTCATAAATCATTTTTTAGTCACATAAACTTTTACATTTATTGTGTCTAAAGTTTTGCTTTTAATGGAAGTAATAGCAAGCACGAATAATACCCTTAATGTCTAAACACAATACTTTGATATAACTTACTTGGCCATATCACTGGGAAATAGCTACTCTTACTACCTCCATTTTCCAGAGGAGACACTGTGACATGAAAAGGCCAGAGAGAGTTTGTCCAGAGTCACAAAGACATCCTAAAATTAAAATTATCCATCCTCAGAAATAGCCTTGAGCTTGGGCAAGAGGAATCCATACACCATGTTTTAGAAACTTCTCCATAAAGGGCCAGGCAAGAGGCTTTAACTGTCTTTGTGTAAACTTCTAAACTCTGTTGTTATAGGGAGAAAGCAGCCAGAAAGTCTGTAAATAAAGTAGGCATGGTTGTGTGCCAATAAAATTTTATTCACAAGCGGAACACAGTGGCTCATGTCTGTAATCATAGCTACTCAGGAAACTGAGATCTGAGGATCGCAGTTCAAAGCCGGGTTAGGTAGAGCAATCCCAGTAGACACATCCAATTAACCAGCAAAAAGCTGGAAGTGGAGGTGTGGCTTAAGTGGTAGAATGCCAGCCTTGAGCAGAAAAAGCCAAGCAATAACACAAAGCTCTGAGTTCAAGCTCCAGTACTGGAACTGTTAAGAAAGATCAAATGTATGAAAGGAAAGAAAGAAGGTAGAGACCTCAGCAGACCAAAACAGGTTTTAAACATGGCAGCAAAGGGACCCCATGAAACACTAAGCAGGATTGGAGAAATAAGTGGAATGGAGGGGGTGGGGTTTTTATGTATTCAAGTGTAAGATCTTCTCTGGAATGTCTTTGTTCTGTCCTGTTTGTGATTTACAGTGCAAACTGTCCTGTGTGGAATTTATGGTAGGGTTCCCCTTCTGATGCCAACAGTCCTGCACTTTCAGACAAGGCCGGTCCTCTACTTTCAGATAAGGTCAGGGGTGAAGTTTTCCTGAGAACCAGGAGTGGTCCGTGGGGGAGAGAGGCAAGTGAGCTGTGGGAGCAACATGGAGTTATGAGAACAAAGCAGATTCTCATTAGGCAATGCAATGCAAACTAGTTTAGTATAGAAAAAAACTAAAACCTAACAAGAATATTTAAAAAAATAATAGCCAGGTCTCAGCTATTCTTAAGAAGGCCACTGATTAAACAATGGCCCAAGAAGGCAAGCGCGCGCGCACACACACACACGATTTACAAAATGGATGGTAGATCGTTTAACCATCCCACTGTCTTCCAGCTGCTTCCCTCCCTGTGGGTGAGCACCCTGCAGGACTGTGGCACATCTCCCTGGTGCTCAAATGCACCCCCGTCTAAAGCCTGACCCAGCTGCCAGAATCCCTGCCTCAGCATCCCTTGCCTTCTTATAGGACCAACACAGGCCAGTTCTCTGGCCCCATTATCATGGAGGATGGAGCTCACACTGCTGTGCCCATACCTAGCTCAGGGCTATTTGTGTGTATGGAGGGATGAGGTATACACAGATGTCAAGTTTGAGATGTCCACAGGTGTGTGCATGCAGCTGAGGCTCCTGTTCTGTGAGTCAAGGGCAAATGTGGAAAGAAGAGAACTGGAGAGAGCCGGGCACCAATGGCTCACACCTGTAATCCAAGCTACTAAGGAGGCTGAGATCTGAGGATCATGGTTCAAAGCCAGCCCGGGCAGGAAAGTCTGTGAGACTCTTATCTCCAATAAACCACTAGGAAACCGGAAGTGGCACTGTAGCTCAAGTGGTAGAGTGTTAGCCTTGAGCTGAAGAGCACAGGGATAGCGCCCAAGCCCAGAGTTCAAGCCCCACGACCAACAAAAAAGAGAGAGAGAGAGAGAGAGAACTGGAGAGAGCTGGAAGTATGGTTCAAGTGGTAGAATTTGAATCTTGGGCAAAGAATGCAAGTAAAAGCATGAAGTCCTGAGTTCAACCCCAAAACTGGCAAAAATAGAATTGTACCTTTTGCCAGGCCCCAGTGTCTCATGCCTGTAATTTTGGTTATTCTGGAGGCTGAGGTCTGAGAATATGAGGTTCAAAACCAGCCAAGGCAAACAAGTCCATAAGACTCTTAACTCCAATTAACCAGCAAAAAGTCAGAAATGGAGGTATGGCTCAATAGCAAGAATGCCAGTCTTGATTGAAAAGCTAAGCAAGAGTACAAGGCCCTGAGCTACAGCCCCAGTATCAGCACAAAAACGAAAGAGGACTGGGGGCTGGAAACCACACTGAAGTCACATTCTGATATAGAATCCCTTGGAGTTTCAGAATTTTGAACTCAAATTTAATTCTCTAGATTGTTATAAAGTCTGTTTGTTCATTTAGAGACATAAGTTGTATTTTAATAGTATGCTAGCTCTCTGTAGCATTTAATCATATGATAGTTTTCCATCTATATATTAGTCCTAGGCCCCACAAGAAGTAGGGATAAGACAGCTCGATTGACAGCATCAAAAACTATACAAATGAGGCCACATTTATTGGAGTAAAAGACTTTTTAATTTTGTTTAGTTGTGCTGTAAAAACAAACACAAATCAACAACTGCAAGGAAAATGTCTGAGGATGTTTGGAAGAAAGGTGTGGAGGCCAGCTTGCCAAGGGGACTCTCACAGGGAACTCATGTGGAGCAGCAGGCAGCAAGAGCTCATCGGTTCAGCTTTCAGTTCAGCCTAGAATGGAAAGAATATTTCAAAGTCCAATTCAGTAAATGGAAGCCAAGCTACTAAAACTACAGATGCTCCCAGCTAGAAGATTCCTGCCCATTGTCTAACCAGGATTTTCTTTTCTTTTCTTTTCTTTTTTTTAGGTCTGAGACTAGGACTTGAACTTAGTACCTGACACTTTTGCTTATTGGCTAGCCCTCTATCCACTGAGCCATGACTCCAACCCCTATCCAGGATTTTCTAAGCTGTTCTAGATGTTTCTTCTAGGATAATAGTGTTGGCCCTCCTCACTTGTCAGTTGGTGGTGTGTCCCAGGCCCTTGATCCTCACCCCCTTTCCCTGGAACCAATGGATCTCTCCAGGGCTGGGTGGTTAGCAACAGCTTTCACCTGTCAACAGGACATATAATTCATCTAGGGAGCCTGGGGCCTAGGGATGAAGTAGCAGGGGACATTGGCCTTCAAGGTAACAGGTAGAATCCAGCAAAAGCATGTTGATAATGAGACCCCACCCCCAACTGTCTTAAATAGGCAGGATCATTTGGGGGTGGGAGGAGAGCACATTGGGAAATGAGGGAATGACTGATAATAAATTTCTCAGCAGTCTGAAAACTGTCAGAGGTTTTTATAACTAATAATTATTATGGGGTCAGTATTTAACCCTACTGATTACTAAGTAGTAGTCCAACTTATTATTAGAACCTCTGGACAGAGGCGGCCTCACCTGTAAGAATGCATAGCACCCAGGCACTGTGGCTCACACCTGTAATCCTCAGGGGGCTTAGACCTGAGGATTGTGGTTTGAAACCAGTACCTGAGGGCAGACAAGCCCAAGAGGCTCTTAACTCAAATGAACCAGCAAAGGCCACAAGAGGAGGTGCAGCTCAAGTGGTAGAGTGCCAGCTTTGAGCAAAAGAGCAAGCAAGAGTCAAAGGCACTGAGTTCAGATCTCAATACTGGTGAGGGGGGGGGGGCGGAGGGAGGGAGGGGAGAGGGAGGAAGGGAGGGAGGGAGGGAGGGAGAGCACACAACAGACTCAAAGGAATATGAGAAAAGATCCATCCAGATCTGTAAATATGATTCCCTCCCCCTCCTTTCCCTTATCTCCTGTGCTCTATTCTGTCCAGCAATCTACCCAGCCCCAGTACCTGCCTCAAACTGTTTTGTTAACTTCATAGGTTTCCACACTTGATCTTAGCCAAAAGGCTGAGAAGCGATGAGGTTTCCAAGGCTTTTCTTGACAGCTTGAACAAGGGGATAGGGGCCCTGGTGGCAGGATTTTCCTGTGAAGTCATCCAGGTCAACAGACCAGATCATGGCTCCTCCAAGGTTTAAATTCTTTAGAAACTCAACCTGTGGGATGCAAGAGAGGGACATGCAGAGATTCGAAGAGGCCTTTAAATGCCCATGATCAAGTCCACTTCAGATGAGAATTTGAGCTCAGAATACAGGCACAGACTTTCTGGTTTCATGAAATTGGAGAGTCCCTGAAGGAAAGGTGACTCAAGAGGAGGAAGAGAAGACTACTCACTACCAGAGAGTCCCCACTCTTCTCTGGCCCACATTGTGTCTACACCCCAGGCCCAGCATTCACAGAGGCTATGAATGCTCTCTAGATAAGGGTAGAAATCAAGCTCTTGGCAAGAGAAATGTCCTAGAGTTGTCTATTACACTCTTGCATCTTCCCACTGGCCTTGAGGACTGGTAGGCTCTCATCTGGGCCCTTGTGGACAGGTAATCCATGAGATAGACTGAGGGGCTTCTGTGAGTCAACAAGTTACATAACCAACTATTCTCTGTAGGTACTAATGTCTCCCTGCCCTCATACCTTACTTCTCTCCTCACTTTTCCACTTATTCTCAATTCTGTGTATGGGGTAAGGGGTATGGGAAGATGTACTTCACTCCTCCTTCTGTTTTTTTGAGTTATATAGTTAGTTCTTATTTTCCCAGTTGCTTAAAGTGGAAGGTTATCAACTTTTTTTGGGGGGGGGGGTGGTCGTGGGGCTTGAACTCTGGGCCTGGGTGCTGTCCCTCAGCTCTTCAGCTCAAGGCGAGCACTCTACCGCTTGAGCCACAGCGCCACTTCCAAGGGAAGATGTACTTGTACCAGGGCTTAAGCTCAAGTACTCTTCCACTGGTGCACTACCTCCACTTCCAGTTGTTTTTTTTTCCTGGTTGATTGGAGATTAGAATTGGGACAGAAATAAGTCTTCCCCAGACTGGCTTCGATCTGAGACTGGATCCTCAGATCTCAGTCTCCAAAGTAGCTGGGAATATAAGCATGAGCCACCTGACATCCAGCTTACTCCTAATACTTTTGTGTATCCTTTCCACCTCTCCCTCCTGTATTACAGGTGCTCACAAGTGTGGCTTAGAATCACTATTAGATATGGGCTGCTAGGACACAGGATTCAATCCTAGACCCTTAAGACCTCAAAAACGTGACATTTGACCACATCTGTACATCCCCTGTTCCCCCCTCTTGCCTACCTTAGTCTTCATACTCTCCACATCATCGTAACCCACCCACTGGTTCCCCTTGACTGCATAGGGGACCTGCTGATCCTGAAGCCTGGTGATCTTGGCTCCTTGCAGGAACTGGCAGATCTGGGGGGGGAGGGGCGAGAGAGATCAAGAAGGTCAGTAATGGGCTCTTTTTGGAACATAATGAGGAAGACAGAGAAGATTAGTTAGTGAAGCCTTGGGGAAATGACCCAATTCATTGTACAGAATGGATGGTCCAAGGTGATGGTTCACCTTCCAGTTTCAGCTTTTGTGTGTGTGTGTGTGTGTGTGTGTGTGTGTGTGTGTGTGTGTCTTAGGGCTTGAACTTAGGGCTTGGATGGTATCCCTGAGATTTTGTACTCAAGCCTAATGCTCTACCACTTGAGCCACAGCCCCACTTTTGGCTTTTTGGTAAATTAGAGATAAGAATCTCACAGAATTTCCTGCCCCGGCTGACTTTGAACCATGATCCTCAAATCTCAGGCTTCTGATTGTCTAGGAGCACAGGTGTGAACCACAAGTACTCTACCGCTCAGCTTATTTTTCAAAGTCAGAGCTCCTCTTAGATGTCCCATTAGTCCTGTGTAGTTCCTTCTCCACCGTTTAACATGCATTTCTCTTTACTGTCAGACTAGAGCTAGCCCTCCTTCCCAGACATGACAGGCAGATGAGGCCACATGGAAATTCCAGCTACCTCATAATAGGCCAGGATGCCTAAAGACTTGGTGAAGGGACCAGCAGCTCCAGGACCAGAGGCACGGGCCCCCAGGTCAGTGTTCGCAGATGCCAGTGTGAAGGAGTGTCCATACGTGGGGATTCCCATGATCACCTTTTCTGCAGGCATTCCCTTGTGTATCCAGTACCCCACAGCATACTCCTAGAAAGAGATGGAAGATGGAGGTTCAGGATGTGTAGGGTAGGGGAAGATGTCAGGTTTTGCTTAGCTTCCATCCCAAACTTCACATAGGTGACTTTGTGATGGCGTTTCCTACATCCAAGTGTAGATAGCCCCACGAGCACCAGAATATTTATTGTAATTATTATTTCTGTCCAGCCAAACTCACAGTGTGATTTGGGAAATCAACTTCTGTGTTTGTATGTTTGTGCCAGTAATGGGACTTGAACTCAGGGCCTCATGCTTTCACTTTGGCTTTTTCATTCAAGGCTGGTGCTATAACACTTGAACCACACCTCCACTTATTTTCTGGCTAGTTGGAGATAAAGAGTCTCATGAATTTATCTGTTTGGAATGGCTTTGACCCACAATCCTCAAATTTTAGCCACCTAACTAACTAGGATTATAGATGTGAGCCATCAGTACCCAGCTCTGGAAGATCAACTCAAAGAAGAAATATGTCTGGGTGCCAATGACTCACACCTGTAATCAGGAGGCTGAGATATGAGGATCATGGTTCAAAGCCAACCCAGGCAGGAAAGTCCATGAGACTCTGATCTCCAGTAAACCACTCAGAAAACTGGAAGTGGCACTGTAGGTCAAGTGGTAGAGTACTTGCCTTGAGCTGAAGAGCTCAGGGACAGCACCTAGGCCCAGAATTCAAACCCCATGACCAACAAAAAAGAAGAAGAAGAAGAGGAGGAGAAGGAAGAGGAGGAGAAGAAGAGGAGGAGGAGGAGAGGAAGAGGAAGATGAGGAGGAGGAAGAGGAAGATGAGGGGGAGGAAGAAGAAGAAGAAGAGGAGGAGGAGGAAGAGGAGGAAGAGGAGGAGGAAGAGGAAGAAGAAGAAGAAGAAGAAGAAGAAGAAGAAGAAGAAGAAGAAGAAGAAGAAGAAGAAGAAGAAGAAGAAGAAGAAGAAGAAGAAGAAGAAGAAGAAGAAGAAGAGGAAGAGGAAGAGGAAGAGGAAGAGGAAGAAGAAGAAGAAATATGGAGGGACACAGGAGTGCAGATTCTAATTATCTGTGTAGGTATTAAGAAATGTATGGAGAAGTTTGGGGTGGTGACATGTTGGACAAGGTATTAAGCTTAGAGTCAATAACTAGATCTGACATTTTTCAGGTGATATGTTATTGCTCTGTGAGCAAAGCATTTCCACTGTATTCTCTGGCTGCTAGGATTACCTGAGATTCTACTGGGCACATTGTTGTTCCTTGGTTCAAGACAGAAGTAGTTCTTGATGCTGGGTTCTCCTCAGCCCCTCCCAATAGCCACTGTGCCACTCACCACATTATAGTAAGAGCCTGACCCTTTGTCCAGCTGCCCCTTTCTTAGAGGGCTATTGTGTCCAGTGACGAGGGGCTTTTCCCAAGGTCCATGGAAGTCAAAAGACAGGAGATTGATGAAATCCACGTCTCTAAAATGCCAAAAAACCGAGAAAGGCTGAATGATAGGGTTTGGTCAGTGACCCTTCTTCTTTGCTTCCTCCTGCCATGCTGGCATGTCATTTGTGTTACCATGTCCTCTTCCATTTGGGGCTTGACAGTCTCCATCCTAGGCCCTCAGTATGTATCTCTAGCCCTCAGCTGCATCAACAGAACACCCACTACCCAAAACTAAACTCTACTCTGCCCTTCACAAAGAAAAGAGAACTCTCCTGGGGGCTCCCACCGGTTTCTCTGGACTAGATGATGTTATGGTTCCCTGCCCAGACCTAAACTCCACCCCACCCAGGCACCATCTTCTGTGACCAGTGGTGCACTAGATTACCTCACCCCTCTAGTCTCCTGACTGTTTAAAGATGCCCCGAACAAAGACAGGCACCATTCCTCCCTCTCCTGAGAGAGAATTGGCCTTGTCAGCCCTGCTGGCAATAAATCCCTTTGTTCTATGCAACTGTGTCCATGTGGTCTTCTGGGATGGGTGCTTTCATTTTAATTTGCATGGATCAAAATTGAGGGAAAGTCTTGGAAAGACCTCTTGAAGTACTCACTCTGCCAGTTTCTGGATCTGATAGCTATTATCAATCATCTGCCTTCCAGCAGACACGCCAGCAGTCAAGAGAAGCCTTGTTTTGGTGGATTTTACAGAGTCATTCTGAAAGGCTTCTGCTAACTCCTACCAAACAATAAAACAAGATGTCAGATCCTTCCTTCCATAATTCAACACTAAGCTTCTAACCTGGAAGCATGAAGTTTCTAGAGCCACATCTGATGAGAGAGATTGACTTGTTCCTCCCTGTCCCACAAGAGGATGTGTTGTGCCTATATCTGTTTAGGATAGCTCCATGTTAAACAGAGGACTCCAGCCTCACTGCACCTACGATGGAACTACTTGAGTTTCTTTCTGCTAGATTTTCTGATCTATCTGATCTATCTTCTAAGAAGCTATCTAAAAACTCGGGACAGTCTATGGCCCATGTTCTCTTATGTGGACATTGCTCTATTTTGGAGTTCTGCTTACTGGGTCAGGGGGCCCTGTCATTTGGTACTGTTTGTGCTCTAAACTAGAAACAGGAACTTCTTCACCAACAGTAGGAAGTTCTAAAAGGCAAGAGCTTTATCTTCTAAGCAGTCCCAATCTCTTCCATTTTCCCTCCCAATGTGCCATTAAAAGCTATGCATATTAGAAGTTGTGAGGCTGGACACAGGCAGCTCATGCCTGTGATCCTAACTACTCAAGAGGCTGAGATCTGAGGATCATGGTTTAAAGCCAGCCTGGGCAGGAAAATCTGTTAGACTTCACACACACACACACACACACACACACACACACACACACACACACACACACACACTGTGAGTGTCCCGTGGAGTCTGGCTTACATGAATCAGCCCAGTGAATTGAGCGTTGTCTTTCCTATCTGGATAGATCCAGCTTATATCTAATCCATCAAAATTATGGTTCCTCAGAAACGGGATTACAGAGTTAATAAATTCCAAGCGTGATGTAGAAGAATCAACCATGGGGTGGAACCTGGGTAAAATCAATACAGATGTTTTAATGAAAGAATAAGCCATAGTCTGAGTACAACATTTTTTTTTTTTTTTACTAAAATCCCAAAGCAGTTTTCCTTTCCAAAAAAACATGGGGAAGAACAATGGAAAAAGTTACATTGGCCAAGAAGCACTGTACTCGTAGTCTAATTTATGAAATTGTAACCTCTTTGTACAAGTACTGAATAAAAAAAACCACTTACTCTTTGTCTATATCAATCTCTTCTCTTATGGAAGTGATGAGGAGAAATATTGTTAAGCCAGATCAGGTCAGATAAAGGAGGACTGGTTCTCTGCTGGGGAATGGAGCTGCCTTTGACAAAGACTATCTCCTTGACCAAACCACTAGAAAGGTACATCAGAGCCTTCTTCTCAACTAGACCTTGGCCTTGGGCTTCTAGGTCCATTTTTTCAGAATCTAGTTCTAGTAAGAATTCTGCCAGGTGCCAGTGGCTTATGCTATAATCCTAGTTAATTGGGAGGCTGAGATCTGAGGATCATGGTTCAAAGCCAGCCCACACAGGAAAGTTTCTGAGACTCTTATCTCCAATTAATCACAGAAAAAGCCAGAAGGGGTACTGAGTGTTAGCCTTAAGTGAAAAAACTAAGCAAGAGTAAGAGGTCCTGAGAGCAGAGTCTTGAATTAATTTTATTTTAGTCAATAGTATATTCAGATTTTTGTATGATCTTAGCTTCTGAGTGAATGAGACAACAGTAAATTGGATTGACAGAAACTTATGGTAGAAATCAGTTCTTATCTTTTTGCTTGCATTCAAAGTGGTTATAATGTCTGGAAAGACACCTCCAAGTTTAGGAAAGATGAATATATAATAGAAATTGATGAGCAGTGGCTCAGGTTTGTAAAACTAGCTATTCAGGAGGCTAAGAATTGAAGAATCACAAAGCCAGTCCCAGCATACAAATACAAGAGACTCTTATCTCTAATTAACCAACAAAAAGCTGGAAGTGGGGGGCGTGTGGCTCCAGCCATACTGACAGAGTACCAATTCTGAGTGAGCAAGAGCATAAGGTCCTGAGTTCTAGCCCTAGTTCCAGCACAAAAAGAGAGAGAAAGAAAAAGTTGATGTGTTTGCTCCTCAGAGGCAAGTGTGTAAATTGCATATATTTAAATATTTGGGGCAACATCTAAGCCAAAATATGGCACTTACCTAATAATCATAAGAATATTGATATAATAGTGATTATTAGCTCTTTATTGCACATGGGCACTACCCAATTGTTTGCATTGGCTACCCTCACATCAGTCTGAAGTAGAGTTAGTATAGTTACAAAAACCCTTGAGACTTATAGCTGTTGAAGAACTTATCTGAAACTATGCATCTTAAACACAATTTGAATTTGGTTAAGGAGAATTGAAACCATCATCATTTAACCCCAGTATCCTACTTAGCACCACCACACCAGTACCTAATAAGCACTGGATAAATCATTTATTGAATGAATGAGAACATTTCTAACTGAATCAGAATTTAAGCAATTAGGTAAAAAGAGAATTGTAGAAAAGCAGATGCCTTGGAACCCCATTCATAATTGAAGGATAATTATGGTCGAGTTAATTAATTTAGGCAGCTCATTCTATATATAGAAGTCTATAAGTCTCACATCTACTTTTTTCCCCCTCTAGTACTGGGTCTTCTACTCAGGGCCTTGTGTTCTTGATCAGCTCTCTTACTCATGGCTGGTGCCACTTGACCTCCAGATTGGCATTTTGCTGGTTAATTGGAGATGGAGTCCCACAGACTTTTTTGCCTATCAGAAACTTCCCTAAACAAAGCAACAAAGTCACTGAGGCAACTGAGATCTCCTTACCCAGATCTCAGCCTTCTAAGTAGAATTACAGGTGCAAGCTACTGACCCTGGCTTGACTGCCACTTTTTTTTTTTCTGCCTCATCTAGAACTGAAGAATGACAGGCTGGATGAGGAAGTTGTACCATCAGATTTCCTTAGCAACTGAAACTCTGCTGGCTCAGTTTAAGACATTCAGACTTAAAAAATGCCAGCACTTGGCAAGGAAAACCAAGGGGAATAAAATGAAACAAGGACACTGTTGGAGATGCTGTTGGGGAGGGGGCGGAGAGTGTGAGAGAGGGGGTGGAATTGATTGGAATACAGTGTAAACATGTATGGAGACAAATTCCACCTCCAGGAATAATATAAGCTAATATAAAAAAATAAAATTGAAAAAATAGTCAATATTTTAACAAATCAACGCATAAGAAATTCAAAAGTAATTTAACTGTCGTTGACAAGTGAAAAAAAGGGATCTTATCCTTTCATAGTTGTACTTCTTTAACTCTTGCTATAAATAAATGAAATATCACTGTTATATGACTAGAAAATATGATTTACTATACTGTATGATTTGAAACATTAACTTTTTTGTTTTAAAGCAAAGCAGACTATTTCCTCTGCCTGCTTGATCTCACAGCCACTAGCTTCACGGCCCTGACCCAGGGCACTGTGTAGCACCACAGCTGTGGGTCAGGATTGGGTTTTTGAGTGGAAATTACCACTGAACCTACTCCATAGTATAAAATCCCAGTGATTAAAAAGTTGCATTTCCCAATAAACCCATGTCTCTATAATCCACATATGAAATATGTAAAAACCCATTGCATAAATAATTGAGTTACAGACTATAGCTCATGCTCCAGTTTACTCAGGCATCAAGTATGTGGGTTCAAAGTTCCAAAACACATAAAACCTAGCGCTCTGACATTATTTGTGACAAAATCCTGGTCCATTTTGCCACTGGGAACCTCCCCCCACCCTCGCCCACCACCACAATGCCTAGTTCAAGGTCTCTGGAACAAGAAAGAAAAGTTACAATGCTTATCAGAAATTAAAAGAATAAGCAAAATAAAGGATTGTGATCTTACCCTTTGGAGCCAAACAGGTATCCTCCAATGGACAAGAGAATTTTCAGGTTGGGATTCCTAGAGTAGAAAAATAAACTTTGTTTCTTTTCTGTTCCCAGAGAAACCTTTGCCTATAAGGTAGAATTTCTGATGCGAAAGATCTAGACAAACGACCTGGTTGCTCAGTTATGGCTTCGACGCAAGGAAGGAAGGAAGGAAGGAAGGAAGAGGGGGAGGAAGGAAGGAAGGATTGAAAAGAACAGATAAGATCTGAATTATAGAAAAAGAAATACAGATGAATGAATGCATAAAGGAATGAGACAGCTTATGAGCGGTTTGATATGTACTTGCCCCAAACCTGACTGGCAAGTTCCCACACCATCCTACTGACTTGGTTTTGAGATTGTTGATGGTCTGATAAAGCATTGCAGCATTCTTGTCATTGACGATGACCTTATGGTTACTGATGCCGGCAAAGGCGTAGATGAGATGAGAGCAGAGGAAAGGGTCAATATCCTCATAGGTGAATTTTCCTGGTTCCTGTCTTTCATGGGACCAGTTGGTAAAATAGCAAACAAGTTTGTAGGCCGATCCTGGAATAGAGTATAGCCAATTAGATTCTAGTTCTATTGCCTTAGAATCCAAAAAACTACACTAAAAGATGCTCCCCCAAGATAGCAATTGAATTCTTCACTAATTCAACCAGAGCCTTTGAGTCATCCTAATGGGCCCACTGGCTTTTGTGTACCCGGGCTGTGGTTAAGAATTACATTAAAGGTCAGACATATCACCAGTATATAAAATGCCCACCAAGCACTGAGATTCAATATATGCATAGATAAAGGACACAAGTAAATAAACATGATATATGTATAGCACTGAGATTAAGTTTATGCATAGATGAACGAATGACATAGGTAAATAAATGTGTGTGTATATTGTATACATGTGTCCGAGTTTCAACCTCAGTATTGGCACAGAAGAGAAGAGGAGAGGAGAGGAAAAGAGAGGAGAAGAGAGGAGAGAAGATTGTTTAAGAGAGGGAGAGGAAAAGAGGGGGAGGGAGAAGGGGAGAAAGAGAGGGAGGAGAGAGAGAAGGACAAACACATAAATACACAAAACAAAATCTCAGAATCATAAATACATTAGTGTCTGAATGTGAGAAAGTAATCAATAGAAAAATGGACCCGGGACAGAAACATCAGAATTTTAGGCACCAACCCCAGGACACTTATGCAGTAATTACACCTACTTACCTCCCTGGAGGAGCATCAAGATCACTAGACCTGTAATGGATGGAAAGAGAAACGAGTTGAGCCAAACCAGGTTTATTTTCCCCAGATGATGGCCGTGAGGGCATGAGTGTATCAACATTCAACATGTGGCCACACTTCTGGGTTCTCTAGCCACAGATACCTAGTCTCCATAGGGATTTGAAGTCCCCAGTAATGGAGTGTCTTGATCGCTGTAAGGCCTAGGCAGAATCATTTTCCAAAGCAGGAATTCATTTGCTCATTCATTGATCAGCAAAGTTTCATTGAATCACCTGCTCTCTACCAAAAGGTTTTCAGGATAGTGAGGAAGCTGAAATGAATTTGATACTTTCCCTGCACTCAGTGGGCCCATAGTCTAGTCCAGTGTTACATTGTGGACAAGATCACTGTGTAACTAGATTGTCCTTGGGGCCCTTTGAAAAGAACAAAGGATCATTATTCATCCTTTCCCTGGGATGATGCAGGACCAGCACTGCCACAAGTTGAAATGAAACTCACCCTATGGAAAAGGAACTCACTTGTAAAGCAAGGTAAAGTTAGAAAAGGGCATAAATGAGTGTGGGAGATCTCAGCCTCCTGAGGAGCTAGGATTACAGGCATGAGTCACCAGCCCCCAGCAATTGTCCCCTAAAGGCAACTTTCAGCTCAAAACACCTACTAGAATATTTTCACCTTCTCTTCTTATGGTCTCAATGCCATTATTATCACAAACTTCTACATTTGTTATTAATTCCACTGCTGTTAAAACACCTGGCTTAACTTGATATTTCTGACACTGAGCTGAACGGAGAAACAGAAGACAGAAGTGCCAGGCAAGGAGCCATGTCACTTCTTCCAGAGGCCTGTGTCACTCATTTTCCCTTCACTAACTGCCCTGTGGAATTATCAGTACTATACTCACCTGCCCAGAGACACTTCTGATCCATGGTAGTGGCTCTGATAGCTTTGGCAAGCTTGTGCTGAGATGAAGGCACCTGCTCTCCCCTTTTTATTCTGAGGTATCAATAGTCTAGTTACTGGAAGGAAAGAAGCAATAAGAAATCCAGGAGATTCCAAGAACTTGCCCTGACAAGTCTACCTTGTGAAATTTCCAAGCAGTGAGCCCAACTTAAGCAACACCATCATTTTCTGTTAGGAAAGAGTGACTATAAATAGAACCTCTGATGGGACTTTCTCATCTAATCTCAAAGGAATTTGTCCTTGGAAAGAGAAGGGGACACTTTGTCTCCTCCTCTCTGTATTGCCCTTCGCTTCCTAGTCCCCCTTCTCCATCCAGAGTCTTTTTCCTCATCTAAATATGCATACATGTCACCACCGATCTGCTTGGTTTTGGTTAATTAAACCGTACTTGCCAGGTATCCATGACTCACACCTGTAATCCTAGCTATTCAGCAGGCCGAGATCTGAGGGTCAGGGTTGGTAGCCAGCTTGGGTAGAAAAGCTCATGGGACTCTTATCTCCAATTAAGCACCAAAAAGCCAGAAGTGGAACTGTGGCACAAGTAGTAGAGCACTAGCCTTGAGCAAAACAGGTCAGGGACAGCAATCCAGGCCCTGAGTTCAAGCATCCGTACCAGAACAAAAGAACATTAGACTTCCATCTCAGCTGGTTCCACCAGAAGCTCTGCTTCACAGGGCACCCCCAAACAATACTGCAGGGGTGGCCTTGGCTCCTTCTCCCCTAGCTGAGTACAGCTGTCTCCTCTATTCATAGCATAATCTAGTTATTTTCTCATCTCCACATTGTATTATAATATATTGATGCACAAGTCTGTCAACCCAACTTGATTGTGCAGTTCTAAGTACAAAAACTTGTATGAAACAAAATAAAACACTTAACGTGTTAATTATGGATCCCCTATTAATTTTTGGGAACAGAATTGTGCCACAGATTCAAAGATCAGATCCTCACAGCAGAGCATATACGGGCCCTCACCTATCTCTCCGGTCTCTATGGAACCTTTTTGCTCTCTTTCTCTATCATTGTGTCTCTTGTCTTTTCTGTCTCTGTCCTCACGCTAACATTAGTTCCAAGAACCTTCTTGCATCCTGTGAACTTCAGGCATGTCATTTCCCAATTATGAGGTATGAGCCACATAAGAAGGAAAAAATAGCTGAGATTCATTTTTCAATAATTGTATTGTTATTATTATTTATTATTGTACAGAGGGGTTGCCATTTCTTAAGTCAGATCATGAGTACAATTCTTTTTTTGCAATGTTACTACATATGGTGTCACCCCTTCCTTCACCTTCCCTCAGTTTCTCCCTTCCATCCCTGCCCACGAGTTACATAGTTCATTTTCTTTAGAGTGTATATTGCATAGCATGACTGCATTTGTTTATCCTTCCTCCCTCCATTTATGTGACCCTCCTTTCTGCCCCCAAGAAAACCCAAAGCAGAAACAAACGCTACCACCATCACGACCAACAATAATGACAAAATGCCCGTGTTTTCACTTCCTATAATTAATTTGATAAATAGTATTTTAAATGTTCAGAGAAGTTACACATCTGTGTTCCTCCCCTAAGCATGTCCTCCTTTACTCTGACTGTGTGTGCCTGCCTGGAATCCTGCACAGGACAACATCATGTCCAATATCATGTCATGTTTTAGAACTAGCTTCCACACATTAGAGAAAACATCTATCATTTGTCTCTTTGAGCTTGGATTACCTCACTTAGCATGATTTGTCCGAGGTCCATCCATTTCCCTGCAAATGATATAATAATACTATTCTTTTCAATGAATGCGTAAAACTCCATTGTTGTACACATAACATATTTCATCTCTCCAGTCATCTGCTCTAGGTCATCCAGGCCGTTTCCATAACTTGGCTATGTGAATAGTGCAGCATTAAACAGGGATGTGTCTTTACCGTATCCCAGCTTGTAATGATCTGGGTAGATGCTCAAGAGTGCTCTGGCTGACTTGTAGGGAAGTTCCATGTGTAGTTGTTTGAGGAACCTTCAAATCACCTGCCAGAGCAGTTATACTAGTTTACATTCACACCAACAGTGAGATAGGATTCCTTTTCCTTCGTAGCCAAGCCAGCATTTGTTGTTGTTCAAATTCTTGGTGTTGGCCAGTCTAACTGGGGTGAGATGGAATCCCCAAGTTACATTTCTTTTATGGATGTTGAGCATTTCCTCATGTGTCTATTGGCCATTCTTACTTCTTCTGAGAAGTCTCTCCTAAGTTCCTTGGCCCATTTATTTACTAGTTTATTAGTTATAGAGGGGATTGTTAATTTATTGAGCTCACCCTCTTTCTACTCTTCTTCTCCCCTATTCTCCTCCACCTCTTCCTCCCTTTCTCTTCTGGTAGTAGTGAGATTTGAACTCAGGGCCTTGCACTTGCTAGATAGGCACTTTACCTCTTGAGCCATGCTTCCAAACCTTGTTTGGTTTTCCTTAGCTTGCTGTTCATCTCCAATAGGATCTCACACATTTTGTCCAGGGTTGCCTCTGGATTATGATCCTTCTAACTATGCTTACTGCATGACTAGGAATACAACTATGTGCCTTGCTGGAATAGGGTCTCACTAATGTTTTATCCAGGCTGGTCTTGAATCAGTCCTTTCAATCTAAAAAAAAAAAATCTCACAAGTAGCTGGAAGTACATGCATCAACTATTTTGCCCAGCAACCTCCAGCTTCTTGATCTCAATTTAGTATTCTTTGTTAGTCTGAAATGGGGTCTTTCCATCTTACATCCATCTTTTCCATCTTTCCTTCTCTTCTTTTTTTTTTTGCCAGTCCTGGGCTTGAACTCAGGGCCTGGGCACTGTCCCTGAGCTTCTATTGCTCAAGGCTAGTGTTCTACCACTTGACCCATAACACCACTTCTGGCCTTTTCTGTGTATGTGATACTAAGGAATCGAACCCAGGGCTTCATGCAGGCTAGGCAAGCACTCTAACAGTCAGCCACATTCCCAGTCCCTCTCTTCTTTTTTTAAATTGCTCGACATTTTTATTGTCATTGTCATGGTGATGTACAAAGGGGTTACTATTTCATAAGTCAGGTAGTGAGCACATTTATTTCTGGACACTGTCATCCCTTCCCTCTCTGTCCCCCAGTTTTTCCTTCTTGTCCCCGTCCACACGTTGCAGAGTTCATTTTCAACATAGTGTCTAGTGAGTACCACCGCTACATTTATTCACCCTTTGCCCCTCCACTTCTGTGCCTCCCTTACCCCTCCAAATCAGATACCTGAACAACCAAGACAAAAAGAAAAGGAAAAGAAAAACCTCTTGTTTCCATTTCCTGGAATTCATTCAACAAATATAATTTTATATGCTCAGAAGCACAGAGAGATTGTGTCTTTGTCTTCCTCCCCTAAGAGTCTCTTCCCTTGGTCTCACTGTGTGTGAATGCCTAGAGTCCTGTATAACATCATATCCCCAAGTATTTCAGATTTATCTTTACATATGAGAGAAAACAGGCACCATTTGTTTCTCTGAATCTCTGTCTCTTGACTTGTCTCACTTAATACAATTTGTTCTAGGTCAGCCCATTTCCCAGCAAATGACATGATGTCATTCTTTCTAATGGCTATGTAAAATTCCATTGTATATAGGTGCTACATTTTTTTTGATCCATGCATCTGGGCTGTTTCCATCACTTGGGTGTTGTGAATATTGCAGCAATGCACATAGATGGGCAAATGTCCCTACGGTATCCTGGCTTGTGATGTTCTGGGAAGATGCTTAGGAGTGGCATGGCTGGGTTGTAGCACAGTGCTGTGTTTTGTTTTTAAGGAACCTCCAGATGGCTGTCCAGAGTGGTAGTACTGGTTTAAATTCCACCAGTGGGGCAATAGGATTCCTTTTCCCCACATCCCTGCCAACATTTGTTGTTCAAATTCATGACCATGACCATTGGCCAATCTAACTGAGATGGAATCTTACAGCTGTTGGATTTGCATTTCCTTTACGACCAGGGATGTTGCACATTTCCTCATATGTTTCTTTGCCCTTCTTACCTTTCTTATCTTTCTTTCGAGAAGACTCTCCACTGCCCATTTCATCACTGGTTTACTGGCTTTGGGAGGGGTTAATTTCTTGAGCTCCTTGTATATTTTGGATATTAGGCCTTTGTTAGAAGTATTTTTGTTAAAGATCTTGTCCTAGGGACTGGGAAGGTGGCTCAGTGGTACAGTGCTTGCCTTGTGTGTATGAAGCCTTGGGTTCGATCCTTCAGCACCACAGAAGCAGAAAAAGCTGGAAGTGGCACAGTGGCTCAAGTGGTAGAGCACTAGTCTTGAGCTGAAGAGCTCAGGGACAGCACCCAGCCCAGAGTTCAGGCCCCACAACCAACAACAACAACAACAAAAGATCTTGTCCTAGTCTGTAGGATGTCTTCCTAGTTTAGGAACTATGTCCTTTGTTGTGCAGAAACTTTTTATTTTGATGAAATCCCATTTGTCAAGTTTCTCTCCTATCTGTTGTGCCCCCTGGGACTCTTCGTAAAAAGTTTCTGCTTACGTCTGTAAGTTCCAGTGTTTTCCTGCTTCCTCTTGTAATAATTTCAAAGTCTCAGGTTTGACGTTGAGGTTTTTGAGCCATTTTGTCTTTCCCTTATAAAAAGGATAACTCAATCATTTCTCAAATGTGCTTGTGAATTGAAAACTTGTTTGCATTTCTTTGCAGGTATCCTTCTCAGTATTTTAACAGGTGACATTGTCCACTGACAATACATTATCAAAAATCATTAAGGATTTTATCTCCCCTTTCCTGAAAATTATGTCTCATTATATCAGTGAACGAAGTGATGTGTCTTTTCTCTTTCAGTGGTGCCCAGGTGACAGAGGGAAACCACCAATCAGATTTAGACTTCCATTTGTCAACATCCGGACCATTGTATGTAAACCTCTTTCTTAAATAAGTCTCCCTCCAGGAATAAGTTGTGGATTGTTTTTTCTTTTTCTTTGTATACTTTTTACTTTTTTATTGTTATTATACAGGTGATGTACAGAGGGGTCTCAGTTATATGTCAGGTAAAGAGTACATTTCTGTT